CATTTTCAGAAATACCTCCCTGGACCGTCCACACACACACACACACACACACACACACACACACACACACACACACACACACACACACACACACACACACATTTGCACCTGCATTTAAATCAGTTTCTTATTTGCCAGCTGGAGGTGCTGTTGAATAAAATATAATGGAATCTATAAAAACTTTGAAGGTTTGCACTTTCTATAGAGTCTGAAATATATTCAATTCACATGTGAAAATGAAGGAAGTCCAGCACATTGCATGCATTATTCACATTGGATAATGTGTACTTGGGAAATTAAATTATACAGTTTTCACACAGAGTTTGTCATCCAGAACAGTGTTCACTTTTTTTTCATTGAAGGCTTCCGCTGTCTCGTGTGTCCTTGTGCTTCCTCACATTGGTAGTTACATTACTGACACACGCACAACACACACATGCACACTACAATCAGCCCAGGCTTGCTACCATAAGGGGCTTTGCCTTTGCCCTAATTGGCGACGTAATCCTGGACACTAGGAGTAAAGTTGAGCCCTCTGAGGAGGAGGAGGAGGAGGAGGAGGCAGCCTGGGAATCTTGTGCATCACGGTGGGGGATGGGTGACAAGTTATATCCTAAATTAGTTTCAAACATTTTAAGTGCTGTTGGTTTAAGTTTACACTGGTTTTAATCAAAGCGGTCCTCCGTTTTGTCCAAGTCTTTCTGGTAGAAATTAATGTACTCCTTAAAAATATGCTCAATTGATTTGTATTTTTTTGCTGAGAATACTGATACACTGAGAAGTCTGCAAGTTACATTTCTGAATGCGGCCAGTTAGCTTAGTTTAGCAGAAAGGCTGTAAAAAGCTAGCCTGGCTCTTTCCAAAAGTTAAAGCAATATGCATACCACTTTATTGCGCATACCTCATTTGTTTAATCTGTATAAAAAAAGTGGTGTAAAACAACAATTCACAGTTTTACGAGGGACTTGGTGCGAGCATATTTGTTGGCCAGATCCGCTTGCGAGACATTCAGCTTGGACGCCACAGCATTTCTGGTCACTGCTAATAAAGGTCCTTTACACAATCCTTCATAAATACATGATTTGCTTTTACACTTCAGATTGTGCACATTTTTTATTAAAACAAGATATAATGTGTGCAGTGAGCGTAAGATTAGCTGTTAATAGATGTTACCTATTGTTGATACAGTACCTTTGGACAGGCTAGCTTTCTCTCTGTTTTTTAAGTTTTCATGCTAAGCTAAGCAATGCATCAATTCACCTTAGAGCTACATGCCTTCAGAACACATGTTAGAGAAGTATCTATCTGCTCATTTATATCTCTTCGAAAAGAGAATAAGCACATTTTTGCCATATTACCTTTACACATATTATGTAGCCCCTACTCTGAAAAAACTGAAAAGTTTACTTAAATTAAATGTATTATGTCAACAAATGACACATAACTGTATTAAGTTAATTGAAAGCAATAATATTTGAACCTAATACTTTTGATTTAAACGTAATAGTATTGTTTTCAACTAACCTAATACAGTTATGGGAAATCTGTTGACATAATACATGTAATTAAAGTCAACGTTTCAGAATTGGTTCCATTCATCAGCGGTGAAGATCTCAAAGAAAATGCGCTGCTCTAGTCTTAATCAATAAATACACCAGGATTTCATTCCAGTAAACTCTCAAAAGAGCAATGTTTTCCCCAATTGTTACCATCTGCTGGTATCCCTGAAACTGAAATGCTGGGTTTCAAATATTCCAGGAACTTAACAAAATCAGAGTAATTATCTCTTGATTGCATTCCTTCTTGCTGAGGAAATCACAATCAACAAAAGGACAATTAAACATTAAGATCATTAAAATGGCTTTTTGGTAGATTTAAAATAAAAAAACTGTAGAAACAAGTTAATTCTTCACATAAAAGCTGCAATTAATGAATCATTGAATACAGAATATTCGTGTTACAATTATTAAAGACCTTTCAAATTCCTTTCAAAAGTTTTACTTTTCTTGAAAAAATTAGAGAACCTGCAGTGGCACTAATTGGTAAAGTTTTCTAATTAGAATGTGACTCAGAATTCTTTCCATCTGAGTATTAAAGGGTAATTAGTTAAACCATGTGAGGGATGGGATATCATGTGGTTAAGCTCAGCAGTTTTAATATATACTTGCGTCTGGTAAGGACCGAAAGAGTGTATTCACATTTTAACCAAATTACTATGGGTAATTGTGAGATTTTAGGGTAGCACTGAAACAATTTACAATGACTTCTTTACTACCGTTTCACACATCTATATGTTGCTCTGGAGGAAGTCACCTTGTATCTGCAGAACGCACCGGTAATATGTGTGGCTCAGTTGGTGCCTTAGGAATTTAGTTTGGCAGTACTTGTGATCAGGGGG